GTAACCGCCAGTTCCTAGTGATAATTCTAATCTCCTTTAGGCACCAACAAATTACCACGTTAACAATGTCGGGGGCTGGAATATGCATATGATTCCATGATATCTTAATCCTTATAGGAGACTTACTAATGAATATAAGGACGCTTAGTTTACACTAACATAATAAAGTCATGACGAGGATTCATATCTCTATAGTCTCTAGTAGGCACAGAATGGAAGCATATCGCGGCAAAAAGGGCTCCTCGGTCGAGGTTAGCCTATCCGGATAGATCTCTTTTCAACAAGAGGCGCTCCATCTGGGCCATTAAGGTGCTCAAGCTGAGAGCTCGGTCCCGATAGCGGTAAATGAGATCTCGACACTCCTTATCTGCTCGTCTCATCCGTAGCTCTAATTTAGCCAAGGAACTCAAAATCACACATGTCTGCGCGAATATGACAAGCACTATAACCAGAAAAATGAACTTTTTATTCCCGAACAATTGCCTCAGCAACTCCCTCTCGGTCCCATCATTGAATTTGTCATCACTCTATCGTTCGCATGTCGTGTGTCTTTAGCTCCGTGGATCAAAGCTGTTATATCTCGATGGTAGGGTCCAGCCTAGGCCGTGGGAATCATAAGCCGACCGTTTTTGAGTATCGGAGAGAATCTCATAGGCATCCATAATGAGTCTATACTAGGATAGGCGTTTTTCAATTGGTAATTTCTCGGCCATAGGGCTTGCTGAACTGTTAGGGTGGTAGACCTTTACAAGGTCATAGCACCTTGATTTAGAATATTTATGGCCTCTTTTGATTCCTATAACTTCATATGATGTGGGTTGGTAGTTAGACGGCCAGGTGGGATACTGGGATGCTCGACTCGGTTTCTGTTGAGAAAATGAATGGCTCCTGTCGGTCGATGCCTCGGAAGCGGTGCCGTTGAGGTAAATTGATTGTCTTGTTAAGCCTATAAGAAAATATGCGTCACACGAGGCTTTGCAATACATCTTTGGTGAGAGGCCGTAAAATCGGATTAGCGATGAAAGATATACGAGAGATGCCGTGAATTTGTGCTTGCAGGTTTGTCTGAAATTCGCACCCTGTGAACCTTCCATCTTTAAAAAGAGCCTACCCCGCTGCAAGATGGTCATGTAGGGAACAAGCGAGGGGCAATGATGTTCATGATGGTTCCCGAATGTCATATGTGCGATTCAAAACAGCTGAGAGTCATAAACGATGGGCATGCTGGTGGGTCTTGTGAGTGGGTTTGAGCGGATTGAGTGGGTAGGAAATCATAGGTAGATTAAAAGTACTTGAATGTGATGCAGATGTGGCCTTTACTTGCGTGAGATGGGTAGCCTGGCCATAGTGCCCTCAAGACGTTGCGTGTTTTAGCGACAGAAGACAACACAACAAGAGCGCCTAGACACCTGCGCCGGGCGGCTTCCACTGTATTCGTGGATAATATCCCCGCCACATCACAAAATTTTACCCCAGGTACTACTTGATAGACTAAAGATTTCTATTGAGATGGACTTTAACTGGAGAATATTTGAACGATGTGTCTCTTTCAAGAATCAACAAAAATATGCAAGGGTAGGGCTGGTGTCTTCGGCTCGGATAGTTGATATTTCATGATGTGAAGTCTCTGCTTGGGCTTCAACAGCAACTAATAGAGGTAGATATTGTGAATGGGTGCTGGAATCGCTATCCAAGCTCAGAATGCCCCACACTTTTCTTTGGTAGCACGAGAATGGGAACTACGAGTTCTGCAATATCGCAACAGACTTTTGATGTCACGGAACGTGAATCCCCAAGGATTTTCACTTCCCCTTTTCACCCTAATACCCACATCTTCAACGGTAGGTATGATTTTCTCATGGACAGATGAAACGATCGAAGACTTTGAACTGCTTATGGCAGTGGTCTGATCTGTCTGGGTGGACTCGAAAGCATCAATTTGGAAATATCCACCAGAAGCGCTGTCTGTATCTTCTTGCCAGTGTGCTTGAACAAGGTTCGCCATCCGAGCCTCTTTGATCACTCTTGACTTAGTGATATACGTGAAGTCGCTTTGCGACACTTGGAAAACGCAGTTATGCCATGGGGTTGGAATATGCAAGAGATCATGAGAGGGCTTCGCAATGCTCGTTAAGTCGTGTAAGTCATCAATCACGCGGGTCTTAGATCGGTCAAACAATGAAATACCGAATTTGGGACCGGAATTGACATGAGCATGGATCGAAAGTCTAACGTGCACGGGGAAAAACAATTCCACGAGGTTAGAGTAAGCTTGGTTGCGTAACAACATCTCGTAAGATATTTTCTCGGCGGTTTTCTTTCTTTGAGATCGCGAGATTGATTGCGAGCAGGGATGTAATGCGAGATCTTCCAGCATGAAACGTGAAAAACCACGATAGAGTGGAACAATCGCTAGATCTTGACCCTTGATCAGGGACCTCAAAGAAGCTCGGTCGGGTTGACAAGCTAATGTCAATGCTTGCCGGCAAAATTCAGTCTCGATCGAAATAGTTGTGCCAAGAAAATGTTGGAGCACAGGTAGTTGTATTTGACGGGCTCGTGTCCCCCCGAGAACAGCTTCTGGCGTGGAATGGAAAATATCTTTCAATGACTGAAATGAGACTTCAAAAGCTTGTCCCTCCTGGGCACCTATCGCTTGGTTGAGCTCATGCAGTCGACGCCCATATTCGTCTACCTGGTGATCGTCCACTCCGACTGACCGATCATACTTAGAAAAACTGGCGACAATTTCTTGTGAAAAGGGGGCTTACTCACTGCAATCACTGAAAACGTGTCCATCACTTATTATGCAAATCCTCGCACCCGGCTCATAGAGCGACTTTATTTGCCGCAAAACCAGATAGAGTCTTCGAAGTGCCAGCTCTTCGCCACGGTCTGGAAGTGTGCCGGCAACCTTGTCTGGGTTTGAGGACTTGCATGGGAAAGCAGGTAAACACATTTGAATAGGCAATCCGCGTGAAGTAAATAAAGAGATCTTTTGCAACAGATAGTTCCGACCCACGGGCTCCCATTGAGAATTTGGCGAGTGGACCAGCAGCTCATTGTTGCAAAGATCGACCAGCTCTTCTGCAATTGAAATATTTTCAATAACCTGATGGCCCTCGAGAACTTCTGATAACTGCGCAATATGTGGAAGCAATAAACGAGAAAAGAACTCATCAAAATGTGACATTGAAAGTTCAATGCTGGCCGGACGAAGAATCATTCCCACTATGGTAGCTGACTTGGGCAAGCGAAGCTCATGGATGTCAACGTTTTTGGAAGGAAAGGAGGGCTCATCGAGGATGATGTTGGATAGAAAACGGAAAGAAGTGAATTGTTGCGAATTGAGGTGTTGTTGGATGACAGACCACTTTGAATGCACCGTATGGCCATAGTCCCCGAAACACTGTATCAAGTCACCCTGATGTGTTCGGCTGTACGTTGCGACCACTCGGTCATAGGTACAATCTCCCATGCTTGCGACACCTTTAATACTGCTGGATGGGATATGGACTTGTGGTTTTTAAAAAGAAAGCCCTGGAACGGTAGTGGGCTCATATTATAAGGCAAGAGACATAGGAAGTTAAGACAACTTGGTCCCCTTACCAACGACACCACGCCTCATAATTACCTCAACGATAATATAATAGACCCACTTGATGCGCTGAACGGAAAGAAAAGGTGACTGAGCTGCTCTACATTTGGAAATGCACCAAGCTCTGATTCGAAAGTGTTTCACTGGGATCGTATCCGTGGATATCCTGATGTCAAGATTTAATAGTGCTGTAAAGGACTTGGCGAAGTACAGAATGAGGCAAAATGAGGGCAATTTGACTATCTCCCGTTGCTGGCTGTAGTTTTAGTGGCATAAATAGAGCCAATTGACTGACCAGATGCTATCAGCCATCCTGTCACAACAAACACTCGCAACAACCTAGACTCAGTCTTGAGTGAATTGGCTTGTTCTTCGAAAATGGAGTCCCTCTGCTACATGACCAGGATGAGCGCCCTGACCGTGTCGGTGTTTATTGCGTTGGTCATACTCTTTATTTTCCTTCTCACGCCGCCACGGTACCCTCGCCAGATTCCTTCGGTTCCCTTCTGGATTACTCTGCTACCCTTGTTCTTCGAGATTGACCAACAGCAGATCTTCAGTCAATATATTGCTGGGCCTTTGTATAAACATGGAGCAATCAAGATTTTCTTTGGTGGGCAATGGAATGTGATAGTTCAACGACCGACATATATCTCCGAAGTATTCAAGAAAGAGCACATATACAACAAAAGTGGCAACCAAAAGAAGATCCCACATAGCATGCTAGCTGAGTTCCTTGGTGAGAGGAGTATTTGCCCCACATTGAAGAGTCCGGCTGAGACAGCAAACTATGACCTGGTTGCAGGCTCCAATATAATTTCGGCACGAGATGAAGAGTGGCGTTGCTACCGCGCCGTGATCAAACCTGGATTGCAGACGTTTTCCCACCCCAAGCCTATTCTCGAAAATGCAAAGAAATTAAGCAACATTTTCTGGCAGCTCCAGGGACAATGCACGGAAAAAGGGATCTTGATACAGGATGTTCTTCAGCGATATGCCAGTGCGAATCTTCTCTGCTGCATTTTTGACTGCTCAGAGCTGAGTGTAAGTGGGGGTATTGGGATGATTATCTACCTTCCTCTTTTGCTTCTTTTTCCAAATTGCTAACCTGAAATGGTGGCCTTAGTCTCAGATGATGAGCATTGAACACGAAGTTCCACTCCATACCACTCAGCTGACCTTGAAGAGATATCTATTTCGCCCCATTTTTATGAGCTTTCCTGCGCTAGACCGGCTCGCATCGGTAATACCCTCTCGAGTTAAGGCTCGCAAGTTGATACGGCAATTCTCCGACTTACTGCAAAGCCAAATCCTGAATAATCGTACCAGAGAGGGGGAGAGAAGTGCGAAAAACAACTGCCTCGGAGACCGACTCATTTCCGCGTGGCGTGATGGGACTTTGACCACGAAGCAGCTTCGGGATAATCTCAACGTTCTTTACGTGGCCGGCCAAGAGAACCCACAACTGCTTATGATCTCGTCCCTCTATCTGCTGGGGAAGTATCCGGTTAGTATACAGCCATGTCTCAGCTTTGAAGGGACCCGCTCCCTGGATGACCCGACCCTCTCCAAGTTCCAAAACTAATATCGAAAAACCAGACGATACAAGAAAAGCTCCGACAAGAGATCAAAGCTTGCAACATAAGCGACGCCTCCACCACGGATTGGCGGTGCCTCCCGTATCTGACAGCAACAATCTTGGAATGCCTTCGACTATTGCCACCCATCTCGCAGCTCATTAACCGGCGTGCGGCCGAGCCAGTATGGCTTGGGGGCAGTATCTACATCTCCAGGGGCACATATATTGGATACAATAGCTATGCCACCAACCGGGATCCAGACTCGTGGGGACCAGATGCCGATGAATTGCGGCCAGAGCGATGGGGCACTACAGATGAGCAGATTTCCATGAAGTATCGGAGTGCCAAGGCGCGTGCTGAATTCATATCTTTTCATGGCGGGTCTCGCGCATGCCTAGGGGAGAAATTCGCTCTCTTGGAAATGAGGGTCACCCTTTTTGTTCTCGTTAAAACTCTCCGGTGGGAGTTAGATCCAGAATGGAACGAAAAAATCACTCCCGTATGTGACTCGGCCTCCCCACCCCTGTATAACGCTTACCACAAATTGACTCTACAGGCCGGTCCCTTGTACCCACGAGGTGTGCGTCTTATTTTCGAGAAGCTCTAAAGTGGTTCCACTTTCGAATATTGTCTCAGGCGATATATACCGGCTTGAAATTTGGGTTGTAATTTCTTAGGCTGTAACTATTGACAGTGCTATGGCTATATGGGATTAGTGAATGTCAGCGCATGGGAGTGGTTACTTACCACTAGCAAGCGATTGGTCACACCAGAACCCACTTTTCTTTGGATGCTGTATGATAAATTAAGTCAGATTGGCAATCCCGGTGTTGTAACCACCGAGTATCGGCACATTTGAGGGGTACTTCAACATACCCTGGATCGCATGTTTATTCTCTTCAATCAATCAATCTTTTGATCCTGAATTGGTTCCGCTTGATCTCATTCGCCCCGAATGCATACTAGCCTATACACTTCTAGCTTGTTCTGACAGTGAAGAGCCTCGACGAGATAATTTCAAGCGGCAATGTATACATTCAAACAGAACTCCGTCTACAATGGCAACTCGAAATTACGATCAGTGTGATTTTGGAGGTCCATTCTGGTGCCCAATTTGCGTCCCCCTAGCTAGTTTTGCTTTTGCCCATCTGGCGGATTGCGTTCGTAGAACAAGCAACATGGACCCAATGCCAACCAAGTTCAGGGATCCCAACCCAAGGAAACAGTAGCCCCAGCTCATTCTCTGCACGAGCGGCGTGATAATGGCCGCCGCCACGGCAGCGGCAGGACTGCGTAACATGTTGCCTAAAGCAAAAGCCCCAGCGGCTTGCTGGGAAAGACATGAGGTCAAAAAGGCATTGGAGGCGACAAACATCCAAGACATTCCAAATCCAACTAAAATAGTCAACAGTCAAAATGATGATCTTCAGGGATTCAAAGGATCATAGTTACCGAGGAAGGTAGAAATCAAAGTAGCAGCCGGGTGAAGCGCATACTCCACAAAGAACCCAAACATGATCAACCCAGCCGAAGCTATGAGAAGTCCCCAGATTTGATCATTCAACCGTGCCTCGGGGTGAACATTAGCCTCACCGAGGGCCTGGACTGCCCGCTTACGCCTCCAGTCAGAGAATTGTCCTCCCAAAATAGACCCAATCACCATGGCAAGCCCCACGACGACAAAGCCAGCCCCGACCTCACTGCTTGACCAGTGATACACATTACTGAGAGCGGATGGTAGTTGGATGGCGATGCAGAAATATGAAGAGTAGAGGATGGCGGTATTCACGCAAGTAATGCCGATCGGTGGGTATCGGAAGAGCCTCCAGTATCCTTTCAAGGTGGGCTTGGGAGGCGGAGGGCCTCGCTCCGATTCTGAGACAGTTTCAGAAGAGAACCTTGGAGGAAAGATTAACCAGCCCTTCTCGACGTATATGCTCCCATTCCCTACACGTGCACGTAGAGTTTCAGGAACCGCGAACACTAGAACGAGCCATAGCGCTGTGCCCGAAATTGCTAGGCGAGCAAGGTCAACATGATAAGGGATATACTGGATTTACTACGCTCACCGAGGAAGCCAAATATCCATCTCCAGGATGCCATGTCGGCTAAAGCACCGCCGATCAACGGTCCCAAGATTGGACCACATTGGGGCCCGAAAAGGAAGTATGACATTGCTCGAGCTCGTTTCTTTGGCTCTATAATCTGCCAATAGGCATATACTGGTTAGCATCAAATGAGGTTTCAGACAGCCAAAAAGTTCACTCTTACATCTGCCACCGTACCAGCTCCCAGCGAGACAACTGCAGAGGATCCAAACGCCTGCACTATTCGAAGAACGACAAGTGCCCCATAATTGGCAGGAACAGCCGCGAGAAGCGTATTTGCCAAAATGTAGACCAAAATAGAGATGATATAGAGCGGTCTGCGCCCTTTCCAATCCGCGAAACTCGACCAGAACAGCGGCTGCGAGGAACCGCTTAGAAGGACAATCAGCTACTCCGAGATGGGGAATCAAGACTCACCCCAAAGGCAAATACAACCATGAAAACTGTCACTGTGATATTGATCTCTGTCTCTGTTCTCTGGAACTTCCGGGCTAATACTGGCAGCGCAGGCAAGTAAATATTTCCCGCAAGGGGGCCAAATGTACCAGCGACAGTAATAATTCCGAGAATGAATCGTTGGCGAGCTAAGGGAATAGCCGTGTAAAGAGGTTTTGGTTGCGCGGGTAGTGGCTCACATACCTCTCCCACTGGTGCTTTGGAAGAGAGGTGGTCGGAGGTTGAAACAACACTGTGTGGCTCAGAAAGATACACATGGTCAGATTTTTGAGAAGTCGACATCTTTAGAGATGCGAGAAAAGGGGACTGGGCATCTAATTACCTAGGTAGACATATGGGTATTTATGGAAGATAACAATGCACTGGACGGATTGTCCCCGAAAACCGATCCCCGATACTCGCAATATACGAAATATAACAAGAAAGCAAAATAAATGCAAAATAAATGCAAAATACAATAAAATAAAATGAATAAGAAGCAAATAAATTCAACTTATCCCCAGTCAACATAGATGAATGCCAAGGATGGCCCACAAGTGTACTTCAACTAAATTCATGTAGTAAAAGTGCTCAAACTAGCTCACTCCAAATGGTTTAATTAAAACCGTTTATTGAAGTTGACATGGGTAATATTTCAAATTATGCTCTTATTCGCTCCGGCCACTGCGAAAACATGTGCTGCTAGATATTAAAGCTACAGTTTATAGTTGCTGCCTCTGTTGTTTTCCTTTTTCGTTATTCCATTCCACTGCCTTTCTTCTTGAATGCGTCTTTCCCACAACTGAGATTATTTGAATTTTTTGTTCGCCAGTGGTGTGTCTCCCGATCGTAATATGAACGAAGTGTGGGATTCAGTCGAAGAAAACGTCTCTAGAGACGAGGAAGGCGTGGACAAGCAGGGACTTCGAGCCACAGAACGCGACATGCATAGTAACGTGGGTGATCTGGAGCAAGCTAACACCAAGGCCGCCTTCAACTCGAAGAAAGCACTGTGGGCATTTTTGGTGCTCTGCTACTCGGTACGCGGGACTTTTGATGTTTACTTTAAATTTACATCTGCTTGAGCATAATCACCATGCTGACAATGGGGCGTTCGCCCAATTTTCCAGACTGGCCCAACATCTTCCATGGTTTCGAATTATGTGACTGCGGCAATCCTCTCGGCAGCTAATATCTTGGGCCACCAGGCCGGATCTAACAAGCCATGCTCACGCCGTGGAACGAACATCAGTTGTCTAGTGAAATTCGGCGGAGGGGAGATTGACTTTAACAGCTATACGTGAGTATCATGGCGTTGAGTTGCGGAGTGGCTTGGCTGACGAGAAGCAAGATTGTACCTTCGATCAATCAGTCGAGCCACGGAAGGCGTGGTATCAATTCTCACGGCTGGCTTGGCAGACTACGCCTGTGCGTATAACCCATTGGCCACTTTGGATTTTCAGAGCTGATTCAGATGCCCCTCTCCAGATTACCGCAAGACGATGATGATGGCCTCGATATTTCTGTTCGGAGCATTGGCCTTGCCTTTTGCAGGACTCACGGGTCAAACTTATAGCCATCTGACTGCCTTGTCTGTGTTATATTGCCTTTTAACCACTGTCGGGGGCGTCTATACTGTGATCGAGGGGTCATACATCCCAATCTTCATGAGATCAACAGGCTGGTTCCGTGACTCCCGTGTAGCAGCAAGCCAAGGCGAGAGAGGGACGTGGAATAAAGGAGTCTCTGTCAGTGTTCTGGCATTAGTTTCAGGCAATATCGGTGGTTTAACTGCGCTGATCATCGGTGTCATTCTTGTTTATGGGCGGGGATCTTATGTGCAGGTTGGGTACTTCAACTACCTGCTAGCCATTACAATTGCGGGCTGCATCACAAGTAAGTCGCATTTGATTGTAGACTATGAATCCTCGATTGCTGACTTTCTCAGTTTTGTTTGCTCTCCTTGGCCAGTACCTTCTCCCGTCAGTGCCCGGCAAAGAGCTTGACCGCACGAAAAACAAATTCCCTTTGCTGATCGCCTTCAAAAACTGGGTGAAACTGCTGAAAAGTGCGACGTACTATTCGGAAGCATTCAAGCTTTGTATCGGATGGGTTCTATGGAACACTGGCTATTCCAACCACTTGCAGCTCATCGGCGCGCTCTTCCTCCAGGTCACTGGATTTTCCCGAAGTTCCGGGGTATACTCAGTCTGGTCCTTTACTAGCGTCATCTTTGCCTGCATGGGCAGCTTGAGCTTCATGTATCTCTACCCGCGACTTCGGTTCCCCGTGAAATCATATGCATATGCTTTCCTCGTGGTGAATATCCTTTGTGTGTTGTGGGGCTGCATCGGAATCAGCAACCATGTTACAATCGGTTATAAGCACCAAGTCGAGTTTTGGATTGAGCAGGTCCTGTTCATGTCGACTAGTAGTGCGCTTCGGGCATACAACCGTGCAATCTACTCTTCCATGATTCCAGAGAACTCAGAAGCGCAATTTTTCGGTCTAGAGATCACTTTGGATCTCGCTACTGGATGGATCAATCCTCTGGTAATGGGTATTATCCAGAATCGGACGCATAATTTACGCTTTCCGATGATCCCAAACTTGTTGCTGATGCTTGTTGGACTTGGCCTTTACTCGCAGGTGGATATTTCTAAGGGGATCGAGCAGGCAAAGGTACCGTTGGCACAGTAGGTCAACAGGAAACTGGGGAGTTGAGAAGTTTAATTATCGTTAGGTAGGAGACTTGAAAAGACCGTCAGTGTGTTGCTTATATTTGACGCTGCTATCTAATGCATACTCCAAACTTATAAGCCTGCTAAATAAATTGATTGATCGAAAAAGACGATTTAGTCGAAAGTACTAGAAATTCTCACATATGTCTAGTTCCACTCGGACGAAATGAATAATGTTCCATCAAAATCCACAATTGAGGTTTGAATCTCCTGAACTCGAAGACTTGAACGGCAGATCCTTTGGGCATCAAGTAATCTTGAATTTGACATATTGAAACAAAACATTAAGAAACACTGTATTACACCTACAATCTGGTCCGTCCAAAATCGGCACACCATTTTATAAGCTATCTGGTAGAGTTATCGGACTGGCGATCGAATTTGGAGCAGATGAAGAGAGGAAGTGTCGCGCTCGAAGAGAGTATACTCATCAAGGGGAAGGTTGGCAGGAGAAGATACATAGCTTCTAGAACGCTCTATAGACTAGATAGACAAAGCAGCAGTTTGCCACTTGACAGGGGACCAAGTTTCTTGTGAGAGCCACTAGGAGAACACAACCACGGATCGGGTTTTAGCCTGCCATTCTGTCGCCAAAGTCTGCGTGATATTCCAAATACTTCACCCGCCCAAACTGTACCCCTTAGTAACAAAGACCCATTCCATCCGCAGGCTGATGGCCTGTCAAGTCCGGGCTTGTAGATCATGTCTCGACCTTTGCAAATCCTTGCAAATCCTTCTCCGGGCCACAAATAGAACCTTTTTGATCTACTGTCCCATGGGCCTCGCTGAAGCCTCAAATCATCGGTCCACATTCAAGCGTGGTATTTTCGACCACTTAACGAATCATTTCACACCTATGTATTACTAGATACAAGTCAACAACACGTCGTATTTCGACATCAAGATATTTAGACTAGTGAGTAGATGTCATCTGAATTCAGCTTATAGGAACCATTCCACTTCTAAATTGTAAGTTTCCTCAATCTAATAAAGAACTCCCTAGGTAGGCTTCGGCAGCAATAGGAATCGGTCTTTAAGACGTTTAAGGCGCAACCTTAGTAAAGGAGCTTAGTGCTTAGAATTCCGCCTTAGCTACTTTAGACGGTGCTCTAACTTTGGGAGTCTATCTTCTAGGAACTGTAATAGACGGCGAAGCTTCTCCACGCTCGAAAGTCCACCGATATAGAGAGAGAATTCAATAGCGACGCGGTTTATATAGAGTGTGGAGGAGAGATTTATAATCCTATAAAAGATGGTGGATAGCGGCGTGGCGGATGCTAGAAACCAAACTTTGCTATTTCTGTATAGTACTAGCGGCTTGACGGCAAGAGCTGTACTATATCTTATGCCGGTATTTCAATAAGAATTTGAAAAGCTTATATAGCTCTAGTTCCTCTAGGCATATCCACCTAACTATGAGAGAATCTTCTAAGAGCTATTTGTAAACGAATTGAAATGTATAGTATTCGAGATGTCGTTATATGGCTTAGAGAATAAGATTTTGCGCGCGGAAAGGGATATTTACCACCGGAAGCCGGGAAAGTGAGTATAGACTTTATAGGACTATGGTTCAAACCTATAGATTAGTCGGCGTGTTCCTCAATTTGTACTATTAACTTACTAAAGATAGTATCAATCTTCCTTCGGTAACGCCTAATCAATTGTTTTACGGATCTGAGAGTAGTCCGTTAGAGATAGCTTCTAAATTGGTAAGACTAGTCGTGAGTTCTTACCGCTTACTTATAGACTAAGATGGCTAGGAAGATCTGGTCGAAGTGCCTCCGGCTAAGTACCGAGTTACTATAGAAGAAATAGTGCTAGTCTTAGGCTGTTGTTTGCTAGTCGCTATATTATCCTGATTCCTCTATATAGAGGCACTTGGATGCGATTACGCTTCACGCGATTGGCTATGGCGTAAAATATCACCGAATGTTCGAACTTGATCTTCTAGCAGCTTTGGCACTTATATATGAGAGTCGCCTTGTTGCTGGCTCCGACTTTGACGCACTGGAGATGCCATCCTAGATAAATTGAGAAGATAAGAAGACGAATGATGAGTTAGGTGGGAGGAGAACTAAGATATTAATAGAACCAAAGTCTTATAGATAAGAGTTTATACGCCGTGTGAGAAATAACTGTGACAAAGTACGGGATTATAGAAACATTGTCTACACGCAACCTTGTCCTAACTAGTGCTTCTTGCGACCTAAGGCACTAACAGAGTGTGATAGTAGCGTTGCAGCCCCGCGAGGTGGGTGGCGATCACGAGAACCTAGCTCGTGAGTCTTGGTATCTGACATGACTAACTTAGTTATCCTGGAAACTAGGCTCAGGTTCCTATTCTGGGCTTTCCAATAGGGTCTAGACCTTTTGATTCTCCGTTAAAGAAAGATAGCCAACACCCTGGATTTGGAAGTATTTCTATAGTGTCTGTGGCGCCAGGTAGTAGAAAATCTAGTGGAGGCAACACTAGTTAGCTGCGAGCAACAGAAAAGAAGTACCGTTCGAGTAGCGCGGGGCTAGGAGATAGACAAAGCTGATTCTAGTGGAATCTATGGAGGCACGTCTTGAGGCTAACAACGGGTACAATCAAATGTGATTGTCTGTCATAAAGTCTCTAAACACCATTTTAGCGTCTGTTAAAGCAATTCAACCCTCGTTAAAGAGACGGTGACCGTGGCGAAATGGGCTGATGTAGAGTGTAAGCGCGTTGAGCGATTTAATTATAAATTCGATGATATGTAGGAACCATATCTTTTCGGTATTACTCTCTTCTCAACAATTGATGAAGGTGTTTCACCACACTCAACGCAAGAGTTCGATAGGAATGATTCCACGAGTACACAAAATCGAAACATGACTCTGTCGGCCACAAAGTCCCCAAAAAACGCTTCAATGTCCTGTGAAACCCTTCAACGCCTCTCAACGAGACGGTGATTCTCGCTAGGATGTGCGTAACTGGTTCCTCTGAAGAGACGTGGCCGAAAAGATATAAAAGGAGCCGGGTTCCCAGCCCAAAAAAATCAGGACTTCGGTCCTCACACTTTGATGCATCATAGTGTCCCTCTCTTGCCTGCGGGCTTGAGAGCTTCCGTGACCACGGCTGTCGCTGCCACGAGCCCAGCGATGTAAGAATGTGCTCCCTCGCTGCCCCGAACCCCACGAGTCACTCCATGCGACCGGAGCACAGTCGGAGCTTTGTCGCGCTCCTGGTGAAAGAACCCGGAATTCTCATCGTTGATGATATGCTGAAGCTGTGTTCCAGACCAGCTCAGTATCATCATCTGCGCCATTAATTCGCCATGATACCAATATGAGACTCGTGGCGTAAATGTTCCAAGGCAGACGGGGGTCTGCTTTTTCTGCAGGCTCCTGAGATAACGACAATTGTCTACCCTCTGCTTGAATGAGTTGCTGCTTGTCCGCCATGGTAGCCTTCATTATCACAGTGTATCCGTGTAATAGAAGAGTAGCTTTGATGAGGTAACCCGTCCGACCACAGATGTGGAGTTGTTCAAACCCGTGGTTTCGGTTTCGGGCAAGTTGACGGTGAAGCCGGCGTGTGAACTCCTGCGGTCCCATGGTATGTCTCTGGCCACCGTGGAGATTCCAGTTGGGGTATTCTTTATCCAGAGGGTCTCGGTTGACCATGCCGCGGATGCAGGCAATTGTGCAGTAGGATCGTGTAGACTGCCCGTCTTCCCAAGAGGTCTGTTTGTTGTCCCGACCGGCTCATGTGCTTTCGCTTACAGTAGCTTAGTCGATTGACGGATGTTGCCTCGGCCGCGGGTCGGCCGACTACACGCAGCTGCTGCGATGGATGGCGAATAGGATTCTTCATCACAGCGGCTTCGGCCGACGAATGCTTTGGAGTAGACATGCTTGGTTGACAGCGAGCACGGAATCGTGTATTATATGTCTTCGGCTCTACTTCTAGTGCGAGGGTCGATAATTGGACGCTAGCGGGTCTTCACGGGGCGTTTCGGGTATTTTTCTCAACGCGTCCAGGTATTCGACCTCCCAGGTCTTTAGCTTATTATATGCCGTATCATACCACTCTTAAGACGGATCCTCGGCGGCCAGCGCTTGAAGGGTGAACGTAAGCACCTGACAATAGCCGTCCGGTGGAGGCGCCACTTATCGTTCACCTACACGTCTTGATTCGGGATATATAAGAATTATTGAACAACTGTAGGATCATCCCTAGGATATGGAGAAACAAAAGCCTCCCCCGTGCAGATAGAACCGTGTTGAACTCCACTACCGATCATGTATAAGAATATCTGAGTGACTATAGTGGCGACGAGGCAGGTGGCATAAAACTTAAACGTGTCGCCTTCCTGATCGATAACATCGCGAGCCAGATCTATCTAGTGTAGACCTGCCACCCAATCAGGGATCGTCACCCTATATGGCGCTTTAAACTCCACTAAATACACCGGTTTTTATCGCTCGTTAGCCACAATATGCACGTAGAACTGGTCGGCGCGGTGATTACGTCTTCGTGTAGCGCTAGCGCTCTTCTGTCTCTACGCCGCTCCTCTCCCTCTTCCTCGGCCTCTCCTATACTGAGCGTTCGCTGGTCGTTGGGGTGTCCGCGCGTCCTGAAGATTCATTTGCTCCAAGATGTTCTCCAGTGAGGTTTCCGGTAGGTTCGCGCGGTCATAGAAGGTGACTCGGCCCTAGTTTACAAACTCATGTCGAAGGCGTTCGTCATCTCGCAATGCCTTAATGCCCATTTCGACAAAGTTATCCACCGTGTCTAGCTCAAAATTCCAAAGAGAGGCTTCTGAGTAAATTGGCCGGTTCCAGGTATTCGTAACGACGTAATCTATTTGGGTATCAGAAGGGAAGAGGGGGCGCGAGGTGAAAGCACCCGTGTGGTCGAATTTCCTCCAGACTTGCTCTTGGAGTTGAGGGAAGTCAAGCCAAGGGACTATGCGCTTGGGGTAAAGTCGGTTCACTGGGTCGGTCGCGTCGCCCTGAGTTGTGAGGGTTGCATCCGTCTCAACTCGGATCGCTTGAGACAGAGAGTTGTGGCAGCGACCGAGAAGGGTGAACAGTGTGTTGGGCTGCAATTGTCGTTCCGCTTCTCCCTGGCGCCGCTCCGCCTCTTCTCGCGCGCCTGTCTCTCCTCCTCAAGCTGGCGCCGTAGCTCGGCGATTGTTTCTTCCATGCCTTGCCGAAAGCGGTTTCATCAGACAATCGATTAACACAAAGTCGAGGTCAACAGCAGGGAGCCTGCCGTCTGACACAGGGGAACAAAGGGGATTACGCACAAGGATGTTTACCTACTCATCCGTGACTCTTTTATGCCTGAGGCATCAACACGTTTTTACCTTTCAAGCAAACTTTCAGGGTGGATACAACGCGCCAACTCAACACCCACCTTTTTTTTTCCTCCTACACAACCCCTATGCCTCCCCCTGGTATAGAAGATAGCTCATTACGCAGAGCAAAAGGTGAGCTATCAGCTGAGCAGCGCTTAGCTGTTCTCTACGCTTATCAAGCTGGTGTCACACAGTCAAAGCTAGCCGTTGATTTTAGGCGCAGCCGTAAAACGATATTCAATACAATTCAGCGCTTCAAACATTACAACACTCTCGAATCCCTCCCTCGGAGTGGTCGACCAAGGTTGTTTAATAATCGAACTCGTAATTATATTTTTCTCCAAGCTCGCCGGCGTCCCTTTTATACCTATAAACAGCTAAGTGCAGTCACACCTAGTAATCCCTCCCGGTCGCTAATTATCCAAGTTTTAAAGGACTTCCGCCTTTTTAAATACCGGTCAAAACAGAAAATCCCAATTGGAAGGGTTTTAGCTCGGAAGAGATATAACTTTGCACGGCGTTGGCTTCGAAATTGGTCGGGAAATGGAGTTCAAAGTTGGATCTTCTCGGATGAGTGTTCCGTTCAACGAACCTCGAGCTGCGGGCCCCAATGGTGCTGGCGTTTTCAGTCTGAGGCTCACCGAAAGGACCTGGTGAATGCTAAGGCATATGTTAAAGATATATCCCAAATGGTTTGGGGTGCTATTTGGCTTGGTGGCCGTTCAAAACTGGTTATAATAGTGCGGGAGAAGGATATTAACCTTAACTCTTTAAAAACTGGGTGTACCGCGGTATCATATATCAGCGCACTCGAGAAGAGCCTTATTCCAAATTACGAACCTGGTTTTATCTTCCAGCAAGATAATACTAGGATTCATAATACGAACCATACACGGGAGTGGTTTGAAACCCATAGGGTATACGTCGAGGGCTGGCCTACGCACTCCCCTGATTTAAACCCTATTGAACCTGTTTGGCGGTGGTTGAAACTGAAGCTTTTTGAATTAGATCCCGAATTAATATATATAGGAAGGTCGGAGGAGGATTGGAAGGTTTTTAAAAGGTGTATACGGCATGCTTGGGACGCAATAGAGCAGGATAAAATAGGTAGGTTGGTTTTAAGTATGGAGAGACGATGTAAGGCGGTACAGAGAGCTAAGGGATACTATACAAAATATTAATTATTTTTTCTAAGCGAGAGATTCATAGGGTTTAAACCTACTTTTTTAAATGTGAATACCTTGAAAAATGGTGATTATATGTAGTGATATATAAAGATATATATTTCATGGGGGTGGGGTGAAAATGCGGGTGGGTAAATACTTGGTGGCAGGGTCTGTATGTTGCGTGATCTTCCTGTAAATATAGCGTGTACAAAGCGAGCTGTCAGCTAATGTTCTCTTTATATATATATAAAGGGAATGGGCTTACCTACATTAACTCCATACATCTTGCTGGATACCTCTGTGTACGTCCAAGGCATTAGGAATTATCCTTCAAGTAGTTACCAGAAGACCTCGTGGAAGGTAAAGCAACATACCTGCACTGTCTGCGTAATTATATCTCTCGTCGGGCAATAACCGGCCCTATGGATGGACATTTGGCTAGAGGCGTCTGGCAAGGTATTTATAGGAGAAGGTGCTTGCTTGATACCGATCATCTTTAATTGAGGTTGATGGCAAAGCGGACAGGCACGATCAAGCATACTACGGCGGGCTATATCTAGCTAACGGACATCAATTCCAATACCATAATTACAAAACGCCAACAGCTCCCGCCTGTGCGCACACACAGGCGCAACGTCGTACATTTCAGTCAAATATATAGTAGAATAGCACTTTGAATAATATGTTGTTGAATAACTCTTGAATGACTGGTTGGGTATATACTAATTTTCCGCTAATTCGCTCGCATCCTGCGACGTAAGTATAAGAATGGAACCACAACAGCAGATCGTCAGATTGACACACGAACTGATCCTCACAGAGCCAGACGGATATATATTCTATCTCTACCATTCCCTACCTAGTAAAGGAGAAAGTAATAGAGAATAAATGCCCGATTAGCGGGGTAACGGTGCCCAATCCTACACATCGCGTGCCATAATTCTGGACAACATCAGGTCATCTAATGTACTCTATCTATTAAATCTCTGACAAAATGCGACATATTTCAATAGGCATAAGGTATTTTAACAGGTATTAGTATGCGATTTGTTATTTCTTAGCATAAATAATATCAAATACTAGCATCCTGCCATATAATCATTATTTTATTTCGTTGCATTATCAAATGGTACGCAGCCACCCGAGCAACTTAGGAGCAATATATATCTCCTAATCAACGCAACTTACAATCCTCTTAGGCCTATAAATATAGCAGGTATGTTGTAGAAAGCAATAGAAACACACCCTGTGATAGTCTAGATGTTAAAATATAAAATATCGTATTTCCTATAGTGGTTTAAATGGGCCATGGTGGAAGCGGGGTATAACCCTCAACAACCTATACTACAAATGTACTAGTTAACGGACTAAATTATTAGAAGGCTCTAAACCTATATAAAGGAGTTGCATTCTGGATTTCTCCTATTCTACCTGCCGTCTATTGTACGGTTATTGAAAGATGTCGTGGACTCTATTCTGTACCTAAAGACCTGGGTACAGTCATGAGATTTAAAGTGCAAACGATCTCGTATGTCTATACTGTGGTTAAGTAAATCCTGCTCCAGGAGGACGAACCCTACCACTAGGAGAGATCATTATTTTGGATAGTCCTAGCCCGTCGGCAGTTCAGTCCGTCCGATATACAAACCATGAACCTACTATAATATCTGCAGCTCGACCATCACCCCACTTTAGTGTGCTTGATTAATAAAGCAACACTACACGGCAGAAATCTATCACGAGAAGCCAGCAAACTACTAAAGCACGACCAAATGCTGGCACAATTGTTCATAGCACACGCCTAAGAACAACACTCCTAGTTAGTGTAAAGGTTCGGTTAGCCTCTATACGGAAGAGCTTTCCACTATCTATCCAGATCTATATCGGGGAACTGGACGATTTGACCCTTATGATCTACAATAGCAGCACCTAGAGACACATTAGTTAGTCTCGCTGGACCTCCAACCACAAGTTCTTAGTGCTAATATAGCGATCTTAGATACTACTCGTACCTAGGTTACCTGCGATGATACCTTCAGCACCATAGACGAGTTCATCCTAACTATCAAAGACAAAATTGAACATTGGACTAAATACCTAGCGGAATTATGCCCTAAGCATATTGCTGTGGCAAGCGATTTCTATAGAAGAATAGGCCCTTTATTCCTTACGCCTAATGTCTAGGAGGAACCAATTGAGAAGATTCTAAAGGAATACTTTATAGCATCCTCGAATGTATAGAAGATATATATCATTTTTAGGCAGCTCTCTAAGTAGGAGTTTGAAGGAAAATCCGATGGCCAAAACTCAAGCATAAAAGTCCGGTAGGAAACCAAAAACGAGAAGGTATCTCGAATCAAGAAGGAGCCCCGAATCAAGAAGGAGCCTCTAATCAAGAGCGAGCCCCGAGTTGAGAGCGTGTCCCTAGTCGAAAAGAAGTCTTTATCGGTTCCAACCTTAACTCGCAGCAAACGATTATTGTTAGAGATGCTATAAGACATTGAAGATGGGGAGGAATTTGATTCTAGGGAGTCACTTTAAGATATAAATGAGCTTTTGCGGGAGACTAAAAACGATTCCCCGAAGCAGGAGATCTATGATAGGGTCGAAGAAAACGATGGGAACCTTGATGCTCCTACCAGTCGTACAAGATTCAAACGTGCTAGAAACTAACTAGCTGGATTACTATATTGAATTTTGTTCAGCTGGGTGCTAGGGCCCTCTTATACACCTATTACGTGCTCTCTATATTGATAGTCTGCTTCTCGGTAGCTAATACACCGGAATAAAAACCTTTCGCGGTGGTTATCCCAAAGAAACCACGAAGGCATGTTCCCCGGCCCGAAGCAGCAGCTACACTACCGATTCGACAACTAGGTTACGAGCAAACCAGCTAGTAAGAAGCTCCGCGAGCTTCTTCTTCACCCTAACAAGTATCGAAGTAGAACTATCAATTGACTACGACAATCAACAAACGGTTGACTTACTTACTAGAGAGCAACCATAACTACGAACTAAGCTTCGCCACGTCGATATTCACAACCACTAGCTACGCTAGGAAGTGGATGCCGGCCACATTTTAATCCGGTGGGTTACTACTACTAATATGTAAGTAGATAGGCTCACTAAGCTCCTCCCGATGTTAGGGAACAAACTGGATTGTAACAATCTACAGTGCTTCCTATGTACAAGAAGGTTTCGTTAAGAAACAGGAAGAAAAAGGGGTAAACATAGGTGTAAGTATGTTCGTACGAGGCGGTGAGAAGTCACGATACTCCTCAGTCGAGTACCCAGATTAGGGTTCTCTAGGAGAACCCCATAACATCGCCTGACCAACAGGACTAGCCTGACAACTAGTATTTCTTTACACATTGTCTATAGTCCTATGGGAATTCCCATATTTCCCATAGGACTCCCACGGGGGGTCTAGTCCCACCATGGGAATTCCTAGTAGCCCATAGGCATGCCCGTGGGCATGCCCATGGTGGGACTCCCATGGGAAATGTCAAGGTCTAGTTGCCAATCGATGGCGACCCCACATATTACACGGGTGGACCGCCGAGGACCAATTAACTAAAACTGCCTGTCCATACCGCCTGCCTATATTCATCCGGGGGGCGGCCCCCCCGATGAAGAGGATCACGTGACAACAAGGAACACGTTTTTGTGCATAAAAACCCGTCCACGTGATCATGCAGGTAGTAGAATAGTAGATGGTAGGTTGGTAGAAAGTGCTAAGGCATTTCTACCATTCTATAATCTACCCATATAGGAAGAACCTAGGGATATATAAGGACACTCATTCATATATCTAGTTTGGTTCTTCGTCTTCAATTATATATTGTTACTTATGTTTACCGTTGGATTACCAGTGTGACTTCTTACTTGATTATAACTCAACAACACCTATCGATTGACTAATACTTCGGTATAGATCAATTGAGCGCTCTACCTGGCATCGTTCCTCGATACCCTCAAAAGGACCTAACCTGCAGTAAGGCCTGTTGGCAACAGTACGGTTGAGAGACAGATCGTTGACGCTGGAAGATCAGAGATCCCCTGTGAGTATACCCGTGATCTACTAACCCTAACTGTGACCAGTTTGCAGTGCGTAACAAGTACCCGGTACTGCAGTACCGATAGATAGTACCAAAATCCGGTTAGTACTATAGTACCTTGCAGCACCGATAAACAGTACCAAAATCTGCTTGGTACTGTAGTACTTGTCAAGGTCTAGTCACGTTGACTGCTAGTCCTTTTTTGATAGGCGATCTAAACGGAAAGGGTTGCACGTGATGGGATTAGCGTGTCGCATTTTATTGATATAGCTTACTTAGGCCGCTCATCCCTACACTCAGTGAGCACTCAGTGAGCAAATCAGGGTGCTCAGAAGATGATCAGTGAATCAGGGTGCTCAGGGGGTGATCAGGTGATGCTCAGTGAGCAGATCACGTTGATTATATAATTGCCCGTGATCAAGTCAGGGTACTCAGGGACGTGCTCATTTTTACTCAGTGATCAAAAAGCGGCAAGGGGTGAGCACTAAAACGGAAAGGGAAAGGTCTTGAGTGCCAGACATTATCCGGTACATATGCATTAATTAACGTCCTGCAATGCAGGCGGAGCCTGTGTCCCTGTGACATCCCATGGGGTATGGGCAGGTGCTGACCTGTGGCTGAAATCTCTAATGTACATTAATGTCCTCCCACAGAAAGCAATTCGACCAATTTTGTAGCAAAAACTGCCATTTGGCTGAGTATCCCCCAGACACGTGAAGTGAACTGCAGAGTGTCGTGGATCCTGAGATCCTGATCAGATGTTCAGTAGACGTAACGGAAGGAGGGATTCTGTTTGTCAGTGAGCCCAGCCCACCTCGTCTCATTAACCTTGTTCTCATCAACGCTGCCTTCAGTCTGATCTCTGCGCCGGTTTTGCCACTTGTAATATAAAAAGAGCACGACGGATAGTACAGCCGCTGAAGCCTGCGTTGCAAGCACAGCAATCTTGGCCGGTCGGTATTCCGGCGCATCGTGTGCCTGGAATGTCTGTGGACCAATGATGTTTCCGACCGAGAAAGATCCAGCGACCAGTGCACTAGCGAAGGCACGTTTGGTATGCCCAGCGCAGTTGGCCATGGTCCATTGGTATAGAATCGGAAGAGTAGCCACAATTGCGTTGACAAGATAAATACCGATCAGGACACCGGCTTTGTTGCTTTTGGGCAGGAAGGACAGCAAACCCCCTCCTATGATTCCAGGAATGGTACAGAGCACATTCCATGCCCAGCGATTGGAAGTCTTCCGGATGCCGAAGCCCACGAGAAGTGTGAAAAAAATGCTAACGATGCCTGACGGGGTATTGAGAAGCGCTGAGATAGGACCTGAGAAACCAAATCCAGCAATCAAAGTTGAGGAATATGTCGTCACAACACCACTTGAGACGGAGATCTATGCAATATTGGTCAACTGAACTGCAGGGGATGCTTGGAGCAAGGGGTGAAAGATGGAATGTGAGACGCACCAAAATTGTTGTCACAGTCAGGAGCCACAGCTGAATATCGCGGACAGCCTCCCAAATTTGTTTCAGGTTCAAATTTGTGCTCCATACTCCAGTTTGATTTTCGCTGACGTGTTGAAGAAGGGCCACCTCTTCGTTATCAGACAGCCAGGTTGCCTTCATTGGTGTATCCGGAATGAAGAAAAATGTCAAAGCACCGACAACAACTGTCACCAACCCGAGAACAAGAAACATGATCCGCCAACTTTCTAATGAGGCATTATGCACATGCTGGAATCCAAAAGATATAAGACCTCCAATAATCTGGGCCACACCAAGACCCATATACCACACAGTGAACCGAGGAGCTTGTTCGCTTCTGGTGTAGTACTGGCTGCTAATGAGCATCAAGGATGGTCCCACTGTCGCTTCAAAAATACCCAGGAAAACTCGTGCTACTAGCAGGCTCCGATAATCTCGAGCACCGGCGGAGGCAGCAGCTGCGAGTCCCCAGAGGACAACATTTCCTCCAAGCCACTTGGCAGGCGGTACTTTTTGCAAGCAATATACTGCGAATCAAGGATTAGCAGTGAGACTCAGAGACAATACTGTCTAAATAAATCAAGATACTCACCATTCGGTACCTCCGCAATCAAATAGGCGATGAAGAACCATGTGGCGACGTTGGAGAAATCATTGCCGACGAGTTTCAAGTCTTTTTTGATTCCCATAACGGCTGCATACTGTATATGTGCAGATCATCCTTGCGTTAATCACATGGCCCATACGATTGGATTGAAAGTCGAACTCACGTTCAGCATGACCTTGTCCAAAAACTGCAATATATAGCAGCAAAACATATACGGCATCAAACGTAGATCAATTTTACGACGTAAAGCTCGCAAATCAACTTGAGAGTCAACCGCGCCATTTGCGTGGCCCTTAAGATATACCACAGCATCATCAACTTGACCTGGGGAAGGCTGTGGAACTACCTCGGGTTGGATTTCACCCATCGCAGCTGGGAACAATAGAGTGATAGGCAATGAGATGAACAAGGGAGTGAATAGAAAAGTTGGGAAAGAAAAAGAAAACAAAACAAACGACAAGATTAAAGATAAGTGGGAAAAGGTGGGAAATACAATGGGTTCGTTCATGCGATAAAAGCATAAATAACGTCGCAATCATTCGCGTGGGAACACGTTTCACACATAGCAACGAATGAGAATCAATAAATCAATAACCCAAGACACTAGAACCTTTCCTTGTGGGGAATTAAACTTCATATATGAAAGGGGTGAGGTAAAATGCCAATAATATGCATTATAGGAACAACCTTGCAAGACCGGGCGAGTACGGAGTACGGAGGAACACCGCGTAAATGACCATTATCGGTCTATTTCCAAAAAGGAAAGTCCAAAAAGTCCAGTGCGACGAACATTTTTAGAATTTAGAATTTAGAATTTTTAGAATTCTTACGCATAAGCCTGATCTATCTGCTCACACAGGTAGGCGCTTGATTATGTTCTCGTTCATACTCTCCTCTATACCCTTTTGCACGCTTTCTCCTCAACAATGGGCTGGGTACACAATGCCTCGCCCGAGGTAGAAGCTGCATCGCAGTACCGTCTCATCCTGGGCGTATGTTTAAGCCTTACTGTCTTAATGATCATCACAGTTTCCTTGCGGCTTTTCCTCCGAGCTCGAGCCAGTCGATGGGCAGCAGCAGACTATGTGATGGTTGTTAGTATGGTAAGCTGACCTGTGTGTGACACGAGGGGTAATACAACTGACTCTTCAGCAGATATTTAGTGTTGTATACAGTGCACTCTGCATTTCTCGTAGGCATCGCCAGCTCTCCGTCACCCTACCAAACTAACTTACAGTCGCAGAGAGTCGATATGGATTAGGACTTCCATTAAAGCTACGGCCTGCAGCAGATTATTCCACATATACTAAGGTCAATGTCTTTCTTCTTCATCTGCTTTGTGCTTATCATTTACTGGTAGACTGACAAAAGCCCAAATAGATCAACTACGCAGGGCGGCCGTTTTACCAAATTGGCATCGCAGGGTTCAAGGCTTCGCTCTGCCTGAGTTATCTGCGACTGATTTCTGGAACCTCGAAGCGTCTTTATCGAATTGTGATCTGGATTGTGATTGCGGCGTCTACATTGGGCCATATAGCTGGTGCTTTGAGCCTACTCTTCAATTGCACACCGGTAGGCAGAGCCTCTTCCCAGGAATGGCACACCAGACCACAAGCTGATTACCATTCGGTCGCAACAGGTTCGACGATCATGGAACCCCCATGTACCAGGCAAATGTCTTCCTGTGGGAGGCCTCTTCTACGGTCTCGCAATTTACACCATCATCACAGACGTGACCATTATCGTGCTACCCATCCCATTACTCCTGGGTCTCAATATAAAAACTGCACAGAAGGCTGGTGTTGTGTGCCTCTTCCTCCTTGGCCTCTTCACCACGATCTGCTCCATCATGCGGATGACCCAAATTCAACGTGTGGCATTCGGAGACGGCAACTCGACAATGCTTGTGTTGTGGGGAACGATTGAGTTCAACGTGGGCGTAAGTGAAAATGACCAGTTTCGTGCGAACTAGACCGGCTGATTCGTGTTTATTAGAACATTGTCACTTGCATTCCATATCTGGCACCTTTATTCAAGGGCTTCGTGCGAGGACTCGGTTCGACCAGTGACAGGAAAAATTATTACTATGACAGTCAAGGCAGAAGCTACTTGATGGATACTTGGTCGAAAGATCGGTCGCACATTCAGTCAACTGCTTCCGGCAGCCGTGCACAGCCAAAACGAACGCCAAGCGAGGAGCTCATTTTGTCCAGTCGAGAGCCCGAGCATGGGGGTATCGAGAAGACGATAGAGTATAGAGTGTCTTCGGAAGGCAGGCCAACCAACTCGGGAGCTTGATGACCGCGAAGGAACTCTGGCAAATTTTGGTTTGGGACACATTAATTACAAATTGTATTAATATTTCTTGGGTTTTTTTCATTCTCTTTCATCCTTGGTCCCTCAACTGCATACCCCTGCACCCCTTGCCTTTTGTGGCGTTTGACTTCGTGGCAATAATATAGATGTGGTTGTAACCTCCGAAGCCCACCCGTAAGCTTCACGCTTACCCATAGCCAAAATGGTCGGCCGACTTGAGAAATCTGCCATGATGAGTTTTCGAGTGAAAATTGAAAACTTCGTTCTCGAAGACTTTCTGATTTCAAATTCTTGTCCAAGTAATGCCCAAACGGTCCAGGATCCACAAGATCAACGCGCTTCGGCCCCGAAGATCCGCATGTACCAGTACATCTGTACTCCGTACGGAGCACGGAGCCAATGCGGGAAATGCACCTGAGATAGGGTTAGATCGGGATGCACTTGTTTTAATCAAAATGTAACACCGGCACAGCCCTTGATTAACCAACTAACTCAAATCAGCTAGCGACAATTTTAGGTTAACTCCCAAATGGGTCAGATACCGAAGGGGCCCTGGGCGGGACCTTTACAACTCCGAACTCCGTTCCTGGGCACTGAGTATATTCTCATCCAATAAATATCTTCATGGCCTGGACAATCCCCCACCCAAATCCACATCATTCTGCTGGCTCATGGCGCAAACCGTCGGCTAGCTCGGGCAGAGCCGAAAATTTGACCTCGGAGACCTGAAATTTCAATATCATTTGTCGTAGGTAGAAATTAGATATGCAAGTTCCTTCAATGCCTAGTCGTAATGGCGCCTTAAAACAGATGTTTTTGTAACGAATGATTCTAATGATTATGTCTTAGAACGAAGGATCCTAATACACAATATAAAATAGATGGACCTCGGGATGTCTTCTTGATTGGCTAAGCTTTCTTCAATAACCACGGGACAGGTAACTTAGATTTTACAACCTTGGTAGTCTCACCGAGCTCCTCCGGAACCCGAGCCGTCCCATAAGCCAATGGAGCCCCTATCAAATCTTATTTTAGTCCTTTCTGGTTAGCTGGCCCCCAAGAAGGATTTGCATACTTTTCGTATTGTCCCCACGCAAACTCTCAATGGAGCTTGTTCCACCAGAATGGTGGTGGCACGACTCATTGTGTGACTTAGGACAGTAAAACCCCGAGAGGGGTCGGACATGGCCGAGATTGTATAGATTGAGGCAACCAAACTAGGCTGTGTGACGAGAATTGCGCAGTATACCTTCTTCACCATGTCTGATTCCCCCGTTTTGATTATCGGCGCAGGCATCAGTGGGCTCGTACTGGCCCAGTATCTTCAGCGCCATGATATTGCGTTCAAGATCTTCGATCGCGACTCCGCAATCGATGCCCGGAGTGGTGGATGGGGTCTGACGCTGCATTGGTCACTCCCGGCCCTGCGTGAATTATTACCAGAGCATCTCGTTAAGCGGTTCCCTGAAACCTTCGTCAACAAAGAAGCTTCCGCCCGGGGCGACACCGGTCGCTTCCAGTTTTTTGACCTCAAGTCGGGAGATGCATTATACAATATTCCCGCCGCGGAGCGCATCCGTGTCAGTCGCGCTCGCTTGCGAGAGTTACTGACTACCGACATGGATGTTCAAGTAAGTCATGATACCTATCGTCTTTGGGGAAATTTCATCCTCCTTGACTCTTGACGGGCGCTAACGTCGTGCTTTTAGTGGACCAAAAATCTTCGAAATATTGAGTCTACACCGGATGAAATCACGGCGCACTTTCAGGATGGCACATCATATAGCGGGCGGCTACTGGTCGCATGCGATGGTGCACGGTCGCGCACACGCGAGATCCTCTATCCAGATGTACAGATGAACCAGTTACCAGTGCAGCTTCTAGGTGCGTCTACATTGTATAGCGCGGAGGAGCTGGGCGGCGTCGAGTCAATCGACCCTTTTATCTTCCAGGGCTCACATCCTGAGTCAAACGTATTTCTATTTTTCAGTTGTGAGTCCGCCAAATCCCCTATTCTCTTGTGCGGGTTACTGATACTTCCATAGTTCTGGATACCCCGAACAACTTCGAGAATAGCAGCAAGGACCGTTACCTCTGTCAAATTATCGTCTCCTGGGCTGATTCAAAGGAAATCCCTATCCCAGACGCGAACGCCGAACGCATCGCGCTGATGAAGAAGTTGACTGATAATTGGTCGGAACCATTCCGCTCTCTGGTACACAAGCTTCCCCATGATGTGGAAGTGCGCTCGATCCGCATCGAAGACTGGATGTTCCGCTTGGGCAGGGCGCACGCGCATCCCCGGGCGGTGTTGATGGGTGATTCAGCCCATACAATGACGATGTGTATGTGACTCTTCATTGTCTCATGATTATGCGACCGTGGTAGAACGCGCATCTCTAACTTCAACTAGTCCGCGGAGAAGGTGCCAACAACGCGATCGTCGATGTGTTGGATCTCGTAAAGCGTGTCAATATGCGCCAGCCCAGGTATGGCTATCTGAATACTCCCAACCTTCTTTGATTTGGCGTGTATTAATCATCGATTTTGCGATAACAAGTTCTTTCGATTCCGGAGCCTTGCTATCCTCCCTCGCAGCATACGAGAACGATGTCTTCGCACGAGCCGAGCCTAGCTTCCTCAACTCTAGACAGGCTTGTCTCGATGCCCATGACTTTTCCAAAATTGAAGGAAGTCCGCTGGTTGGGTCACGGGAATTGAAGAAATCTGCCTGAAGTTGTGGGGGAAATCAGGTATATCTTACCACTAGACCGTAACAAAAACCACGCTTCCTGTTTAGGGCCTAGGGGTCCATATCCCAGGCTGACAGAAGTCACTGGGACGTGGACGATGTTGCGGTGTCGCCCAGGGGGTGGAACCTCGGGGCATCTGTCACTAAGGGATTCCATAGAAAACCCAAGTCGAAATTTTCATATGATGAGAGGATAAAATACACAAGAATAGGTTACTCCCAATATGAACTGGCTGATGGATATTATGATCTCGGGATGTTGCATGTATGGATGTCGGCAGTTGCCCAGATCGATCGAAGTGCTTATCAATGCCAAGTCTCTGACTCGCTCCCGCCCGACACTCCACAAATTCCACTTCTCCTAGCACCAACGGAAAATCCAGGCCTGAGGTTTCCTCACGTTGAGAGGGGAAAAAGAAAGGGGCCTTCCAATGCAATGCTGACACACAATGAGCGCTACCGCGTCAAACCAAGCGGCCACTGTCCGTGTATCGCAGCGTCAGCCGCAGGCCTGCCGAGGTAAATGCCGATCCTCTGCTGCTACTCAAGCCCAGTAGCCGACTGACATGATGCAGAATGCACGAAGCGCAAACGCAAATGCGACAAACAAATTCCCTGCTCGAGATGTAAACGCTTAAATTTGAAGTGCTCGATAGAAATTGTCCAGCTTAGACGCAACGCCGTGCAACATGGGTCAGAGATTCAGTTTTTGCATTCGCTCTTGGCAGATCTTGAATCATCTATATCTGATCCAGTGCCTGCTGTTGTTCATAAGATAAAAACTCAAATATTTCGGCTGGAGACCGGCCAGGATCCCGCAGAATCGGATGTATCCAACGCCGCCTCAGCGCAGCAGGAATCAAGTACAACCGAGGGCCGTACACCTGGCAAAGTATCACTCAGTTCGAATGAAAGCGCGCATCAAGTGGACTCGTCCCTTCTCACGGCTATTGAACATCTTGCTTGGGGTCGTAATCCTGCTGGATGCTTCCCACACAGGACGTGCTCATGCCAGTATCGCAAAGATGGACTCCAATCATTATCACGGACGAGCCCTCTTCTAGTCTATGATCCTAGTCAGGAGCTGAACTCTTCTTTCCCCAGTGCTACGGATGCCCAGAAGCTGATCAAGTTTCATCTATGCCATGTGGCCTGGCATCATAATTGCATTCACGGGCCAACATTTCTCGAGCAGTGCGAGTTATTCTGGGAGACTGGGAAATTTGACGACCCTCTCTGGCAAGCGCTCTACTTTTCCGTCTTGAGTTCCACCGTCAGCTCAATCCAGGATAGTATAAAAGTAAGAGAGCTTGTTGATATCGACCTACAAGCAATACAAACTGCACAGCAGTTGTTCTCTGCTATGGTGCAGACCCTCTACAACTCACATTTTCTCAGCAATCTTTCCGTGTACTCTGTTCAAGCAATCGTGATATCGACAGAGGTCGCTCACAATCTCGGCTTGAGTCAGCTGAATGCGACTTTATTCAATGCTGCAGTACGCATTGCCGAGTGCCTTGGGATACACAAGATCCAGGATCAATCAACGAAACTTGCTCAAAACAAAGACGAATGGGATGAGAAAGTGGAAAAAGAAGTCGGAAAGAGGATATGGTGCCAAATGATCATTCAAGACCATTTTGCCATTCCTTTTACAGACACCTACAGTATTTCTCCGATGCATTTCTCGACAGCTCTCCCCATGAACGCAGATGACTATGACTTGACGGATATGCCTATCACATCTCCCACCATAAGCACTTACATCCGTGTTCTCGTGAATTTGGCAGAATTGATGCCCGGTCTAGTTGACGGACTCGGTCCAATGAAATCCAGAAAGCCTATGCGAGAGCAATACGAGCATATTCTGCATATAGACCAGAAAATGAGAGGCATCGTGAAAGCCATACCCCCTTTCCTTCTGCGTCCGGATAAAATAAAGGAATCACAAATCCCATGGCTTGCTATCGCTCGACGAAGTCTCGCTATCACCGCAGCTGAGAAGATCATCATGATCCATCGGCCTTTTCTCTTCCGCTCTTTCAATGACCAGACATATACCTACTCAAGGCGTACCTGTGTTGCCGCTGCAATGACAATTTTGCGTGAGCACGAGGTAATCGTAAGAGAAGGGGATATCTCGATATGGACTCATACAGCTTTTGCGATCACCGCTGCAGTCATTCTGTGCTTTGAAGTCAATGCAACTGCAGAAAATCAAGTCGCTATT